TGTAATGCACGCAGATCTATCCAGATCATAAAGACTTTCTGATGGGGCACCTTCCCATTGTCTCACTTGGCTTTCACTCTGTCTTTCTTTGGGCACAGGCTTTTAAGATGGTTTTCAGATTTTTAAAATCTACTACTTGTGACTTACTGTTATTGATCTGGATTGTGTTACTATTTATGTTGTATTTCCATTTCCATTTGAGTGGCATACAAATATTGTTAACATCCACAACACACAGTAAAATAACCATCCCAAGTCACAAATGCTGCTATTCTTAGTTATTGAAAGCCTGGGAAAACAGTCATCAGTTTTCCTTGCGCCTAAATGACATGTAACAAGGGTGCCAGGCAGGAGAGCATTCCGAAGTTATTTTTTTCCCATTTGTTACAAAAGTTACAATGGCCACAAAAGGCAAAAATAGTCTAGAATCTGTTTTTTGGTATGGATTTTGAGAACGACGACAAAACGTCCGTGAGTTTAATGGCTATTTGCTCTCACAAAGGAGGATGAGAAATGCAACCGAATAAAATGGAACCGTCCACATTGAAAGCCTGGGAAAACAGTCATCGGTTTTCCTTGCGCCTAAATGACACGTAACGAGGGTGCCAGGTAGGAGAGCATTCCGAAGTTATTTTTTGTTTCCATTTGTTACAAAAGTTACAACAGCCACAAAAGGCAAAAATACGTAGTCTAGAATCTGTTTTTTGGTATGGATTTTGAGAACGACGACAAAACGTCCGTGAGTTTAATGGCTATTTGCTCTCACAAAGGAGGATGAGAAATGCAACCGAATAAAATGGAACCGTCCACCGAAGCTGAGTGATTGCAGATTAAAAATCAGTAAAAGGAAACAACTCTTCACAAGGTGCAAAAATAAACTATGGAACCCACTGCCACATGTGTGTGTGTATGTGTGTGAAAGTTCTCACCCTAGACTGCTTTTAAAAGGGATGAGATGAATTCACTGAAATCAAGCCCTCAAAGCCAAAGTGTTGGATTTGCCCTTGAGCTGGTCAATCTCCTTTTGCTTTGGCCTTCCTGGTTATGTTAAAACATTCCTTTTGTCTTCCAAGTGAGATTCGCCAGTGCCAAGTTTCTGTGTGTGTTTAAATTTCAGCTTTAAAAAAAATCTTCAAAGCACGGAAGCCCTACTTGGTGACCTTCTATTTCGATTCACAAACGCTTCCTAGATTCACTTCAGATCAGTTTGAGAACTGACACATAGGACCACATCTCTTCACTCTCTGGAATAAATTTCCGAATCTGAAGCACATCCCTGATTGACATTATGGTTCGCCAAGCAACACGGTCTGGAAGAGTATCCATTCAAGGCCAGCACTGATCCATGTGAGAAATGAAACTGAATCAAGCAATCACTTAAAGCCAATTAATTCTTGGCTTCTTCATCCAGGCTCAATTTGAACCTCTTAAGACAAAAGGCGGCATGAGTTTGCTACAGGAGGAAACGTGGCACCTGATGAACAAAGAGGCAAATGTATTGATCCTTTGCCTGTGGATATCTTTTATCCGTTTCCCAATCCTCTGTACTCCACATGACGGAGGATTCTCAAGCGAGGGAGAAGGGCAGCTTGCAGTCCACAGCTGTAGACAGATGCTGGCTTCCGGAGGGTTTGGAGCATGACTCCCTGCCAAGCCCCACATACTTGGGAAAGCTATCCTGTGCCTCACTCAGAGGACTGACCAGAGATAAGCAGGATTAGCCCCATTCCACTCATGACACCACCCTCAATAACAGAGAAAGTTAAACAGTCGGTACAAGCTCCTGTACAAGGACAGCTTTGACGAACAGACACTAGGGGGCTCATGGACCAGTTGTTTGCTGTTTACTGCATTCAAGCTGTTTTTTTAAAAAAATGAAGGTGTTCAAAGTTCATTAGTGAGTATTTTTCAAAAAAAGCTGCTGCTCACCAAACAACTGGTGCTACGGAGCTGCGAAAGCAGCCGAACTCCAGTTCAGCCGAGTGCCATTTTTCTCGCATACCTCCCCCGGCTGAAGAGCCATCACTCACCTTCGGACAAAGAATCTCTGTCTGCTGGATCATGATAAGGGCAGATGCAATCAGCGCGCCTTGACGCACGTAGTTCACAGGATCATTTGTCATCGGCTCCAGCAAATTAATTGCTTCCTATTGGAGGGAAGAAAAAAGAAGAAGAAGGCTCAGAGTACTATCCGTATTACTTTTCCGGCACCAAGTTTTTGTCAAGGTTATCAGACTAGGATCTTGAAGAGGGCCATAGAACAAGGTCTGCTTAATGTTACTGATAGGTTTTGCCCGCTAAACAGATTTTAAAAAGCAAAAAAGTTGTGTGTGTGTTTTATTTTTAAGCACCCACTCAACTTACACTAGAAAGATCATTAACATGCCAGATAGCTCATTGTGCTTGAGAGGTGTGACAAGTACAAAGTCAGAATGCATTTAATACCACAAGTAACATCTCTCTGGGCATCAAGAACCTTTCGCCTGTTTGTTCTCTGCTTAACAACGTGGGCATCCATCCCAAGGGGCAAGGGAGGGCCGCGCTGCAGATCAGCTGTGCAGCTCGTAAATGAAACACGCTGAACCGCTGGTTCGTGCCCATCTCTACTGAACACTGTCTGTTTCAAGACTGTACGGCTGAGAAATTCCTACTGCCTGCATTTTCACTGACCCCCAAAGAGAAGACTAGACTCTGGCCTTCCAAAATCGAGCAAGTGAAGCCGAGGAAGAAATTAATGAAGTTATTTTTTTCAGCCTATAACTGCCAGAGCCATTTGCTGTGCTCAGGGCGGGGGGCATTTTAGAAGTTGTAATGCAGGCCCCAGAGATAATAATGCTTTATAGGTTAAAAAATATATATGTGATATAAGACCACTGCCCTTGGTGATGAGCTATGAAAATCCTTAGGAGAAATTTCAAGTGACCCTAGGTAACCTTCGGTCCCTTTGTGTTCAGAGGCATCCTGATGACCAGAAAACCCTGGTATCTGCACATTTCTCCTTCCAAGTAAAGGACTTAAGGTAACCCTTTACATGGATAATGTACTTCTATGCTATCCGGAAACGTGGAACATTGATATATACACATACCCTGTTTCCCTGAAAGTAAGCCCTAACCTGAAAATAAGCCCTAGTATGATTTTTCAGGATGCTCATAATATAAGCTCTACCCCAAAAATAAGCCCTAGTTAAGTGAAACCCCACCCTCCACCCTTGTGCAGCAACCAGAAGATGGCACGACCGTCTTTGAATAAATATAAATTGTTGTACATGAAAAAAAAAACATCCCCTGAAAATAAGCCCTAATGTGTTTTTTGGAGCAAAAATTAATAAAAGACCCTGGCTTATTTTCGGGGAAACACAGTAGTTCAAGACACCCTGATGATTAGAAAATACTCAAGGGGATACATTTTCCCACTTAGCCATTAGAACCCATGGCATGAAGCCTTCATCATAAAAGCGTGTACTGTAGGACCCCCATATTTGCTGGGGATTGGTTTCAAGCCCCCTGTAGATACTGAAAACCGTGGATAATAGCAAACAAGACATATATATCTCATGGTAAAAGGGAAAAAAACCTTGAAAAATATATTTTTACATGTATTATCAGAACTGGCCATTAGACAGCGCCAGAAACCATGCTATGTATTCATCACTAACAAGTATTCATAGGATAGTATTCACAGTGGCCATTTGTGGTAATACATGTGAAAAAAATTCTGGATTTTTTTCTTTTAATATATTTAATATTTTCAGAAAGGGGGTAAGTGAATCAGTGGATACTGATCCCATGGATAAGGGGGTCCTACTGTAATATTCTTAGAACAGAACAAGCTGAAAAGTAATGCTGGATTGTGGGGCTATTACCACAATACACAGATGAATCAATGCTAAGGGCATTTTGAGTAGACCCTGTACTCACAAAAATCAGCCTGTATTAACCTGAGGCATATCCTACCTTGCTTTTAAAACCTGGTGACTAAACTAAATGAAGTCCTAAATGAAGGAAGTCTAATTCACATTTTAAATAAAAGGCATGCTCTCCTTTCTAAAACATTTATTTCTTTTTTTATACTGTGTAGGTTTTCCAAAACCTTTGTCCCAATTATGTAAAGTCACCTTTTATAAGGTCGAGTTGCATTTTTCTGCATTTATTGGTCCAGGTCTAATCTGTAACACTGTGTGAGCTCACAGCTATTTATGGAGGATGCGTGATGGAAATGCCTTTTCGGTCTAACTAAAAGCTTAACTTCATTTCCAATCTCCCAAGTTCTAACATATTAACTTCGCCTTTAAAATATGTTGATGTGTGCCCCAGAAGACACCGTGATATAAACAGATGCTCAAGATCCTTTATTTTAGAAATAAACAATAAAAGTACAGAGCTGAAGCCAGGCAGGTTCTATTACCCTGCCTATACAAATTATAGAGAAATAAAACAGACCCGGACTGTATGTACCAAATAGTTGTCCATTTTTGTAGTGCTGGCAGATGCTGGCAACTAGCAAGAGAGGTTACTGCTAGATGGACCCTAGTTTTCCTCAAACACCCAAGCATTCACAGTTTCTCACCCCCCAGGAGGGATGCGCTGCCTTGTCATCAGGGAGAAAAGGGGGACCCAAGCCATCCTGAACAGAAAGATCTCATCTGATTTTGGAAGTAAAGCATGGTCAGGCTTGGTTTGTACTATGATTGGAAGCTATCCGGTGACACTGGGGATCTCCAAATACAGTCAGAAAACAATCTGAGCCATTTCCAGTTGACCACGCCATACTAGAGGTCTCAGCCCTCTGGCTCTGCATAAGACGTGTTCCTACATTCCTAAGAACTAACCCTAACTGTAGGGTCAAGGAACATGGCAAAGGTTGAAACCCGTTGCAGAAGGCATCCTGTGTATACATACAAAGGGAGGTGTGGCGTCAGAGAGAACAACTTGGAAGAAAAATTAGAGAGAAGACCCTAAGAATAGTGCAGGACTACGCTTGAACATGACACGCATGCTGCAGGAGGTAGCAGCTGGACTGCTAGCAGGAACATTTTCCAGAACACCACATAAAACCAGTTTCGAAAGATTTGCACCTGCTGCCAGTACACTTCCAGTTCGAGTTCAAGGTGTTGATGATGACTTATAAAGCCCTAAGTGGCTTGGGGCCTGGATATTTGAAGGAGCAATTCTCCATATACAAACCACAGCACCCCAACGGTGGACTGCCCTCCCCTAGAAGGCTCGATGGGTGCTAACACTGGCATCATTTCAGCCTCAAGTCAAGATGTACTTATTTATTAGAGCCTTTGGGGGCTGAGGATCAGGGCCTTCATTGCCCATGTTTTAAATATTTAGAGTGTTTTAATTTTGCATTGCTTGAATTCAAATTGTCCGATACAGCTTTGTAACCCGTGCTGAGATCCTATGATACAGGATGGGCCATAAACGTTTGTTGAATGATAAGAAAAGGAGAGAAAGCAGGAGGAAGGGAGGGAGAGGGGCACAATGCCAAGCAGAATCCGTGGACTAAATTCCGTAGGGATTGAAATGGACAGAATATCTAATGACACAGAGATAAAGTTTATACAGAGGTTGGAGAGGGCGGTGATCAGTCACCTGGTGGGGTGAAGCGCCATAAAGAACTCATGTGCAGGAGTCCAATGTTTTCCAACTGAGAAGCGATGCCCAAGAGAGCTCTCGGGTCCAAGACCTCCAAAGATTAATGGCTCCAACACTCCAAAGTGTGCTATCAACTTACTGCTTGATCCCTTACTTACAATTAAAGAGAAACAGGCTGTACAACAACCTTCCCTCTTGTTTACTGTTCAAGGACAAGGGGTGGGGGAGTCCACATAGTCTCGCAGCATGCTTTATTTCTTCTTGGTGATCAAACTGAACGTGAGCGCCATAAAGAGGACAATGCCTGCTGGAAGCTTCGCTGGAATAGCCCGGGTTCATGAACTGCAAGCTTATTGAAAGATAGCTGGCTGTTTAAAAGACAGGTGGTACACCGAAGCATAATTAGCTGACTGTTTTTTGCTAAAGTTTCCTAGAAGATATTGTTTACTGCTGGTGAGTAGATCTTTCAAAAAGATCTTTTGTGGCAGGTAATAAGGTAACAGGAAGCAAAGCTCTGCAAATGGATTAAATCACTTTCAGTCTTCCAGAAGTAATGGAAATAGATGGTAAGTTCCAGAGAAAAGGGCTGTAGTTTTTGGAGAGGGGTGCTTGCTTGCATGCCTACCACTGACTCATCTGAAAGAATTCTGGCTGCCATCCTCTAACAACTTCCTGGGAGCAGCTGCATAAGTACTGAAGGAGAATGAGATGCATGTTCCCAAATGATGGCCGATACATACAACACGTGCCTAAGTCATTTAAATCCAAAAGAAGTACGCTTTCTTCGTCAAAGCAGTTTTACACATTTTTCATTTTAAAGGTAAAAGAAAAATTCCACCAATCAATAAAGCTTATTTAAATTAGACAACAGCCTTATCTTCAGTCTTTTTTGCAGTCTAATCTTAACCCAGGGAGAAATGTGTGTTTTTTGGGGGGGAGAGACCTCATGAGCCTAAAGCCAACGGTGGTCATTCAATGGGCAGCTCCTAGAACGATGTGATTATTGGACTGGATGGTATTTCTGAAGCTTCTTCCAGTCATGAGGTTTTCTATTTGAGGGAAGGGCATGAGCAATGGAAGAGGAAGAGTACCAAGCTTGGGAACATCTGAGCCAGATTTTGGTGGAATATCAGGAAAAAACTCCTAACTGTTAGAGTTAGTACGACAATGGAACCAATGACGTCAAGAGATGGTGAGTGTTCTGACACTGGAGGCCTTCAAGAGAAACTTAGACAACCACCTGGCAGATCTCCTTTGGTTTGGATTCCTGCCATGAGCTCAATGGACTTACAAGCCCCCTCCTTATACTATCATTCTGCTCCATAATGCCATGACCTTACCTTATTTCCAGTGCCAGCACAGCAGATGCCCAGAGCCATGGCTGCCCCATAACGGACATGGGGGTTGTAACTTTCGGACAACAAGGAAACAACACTGGGACATTGTTCAGGGGTCCTGAGAAGGAAAACAAGCAGAGCAATTAAAGGGGCCTGAATTGTAGAGACGATCACAGATTTAACCAGCAGAAAAATATTGACGCAAGTCCCCGGAGGAAAGTTAACATACATTTTACTAAGTGTAACTGAGATTTTGCTTTTTTCCCTTCTTTCTTCTCAGAGGTAACTTTGACTCGTAATGTAAATACAGAGGTGTTGAGAACTGAGGGGATCAAAGTTAAAATAAGCCGTGCCTGGGATCTCTCTGAAGTCATCAACAGGTTTGAGGATTATAAACTGGCACACGTAGGGAACTATTTATCACCTTGTTCTCAAACAACAGCTCAAAAGACGGTCAAAAAATGAGCTGCAGTGGAGATGAGTGACAAGACTAGGAATATATAAACCTAAACATTCACTGCAAAGAGGATTTAAGTCCAGTATGGCCAACACCTTTGTGTTTTGCCTACTTTGGCAATTACTCAACCTGCAGGTTCCTAGGGGAAAAGCAAGTATTATGGCACATACTGGCACCAGTATCGGTTTTCAAAACCATTTTTTCATGTAGTGGGATTATTCCTAAGTGATTAAAGCCAGCAAGATCTTCGGGCAGGTCTCTAAGTGTGTGTGTCTGTGTGTTTTAAGTTTCTGACTCTTCTTTCCAGTGGTTAAGCAGCCAAATTCCACAATAATGAAAAGGTGGTCTTAAAGTAAAAGTGCTTACTGGAGGGAAACTGAGCTGCTAAATTCGGCATTTGAAAAACTGATAAAAGGATGGGGGTAAAAATTACCGTCTGTGATAAGGAAAAAATCACTATTTTTTTTAAATGTAAGGTAGCTTAGCTTGCAAAACATCCTTAGCATACCAACCATGGCTAACCATCACCCCCACCTGGTCTTCTGCACCATGTCCTGTAGCAACCTCCAGATCTATGGCAGTGTTAAGACTGATATACAAAAAATAAGTGAAGTCTTAATGCATTTTGAAGAACTACTGCATCTGATGCAAACAGCCTGCAGGCTATGAAAGCTTGGGTCAACCAAAACCTGTTAGTGCCACGACTGTTGTCTTTGAAGACTAAAAGATTTTATTAGAGCATTAGCTTTATGGGCACAGGAAGCTCTTTATCCTGACCCAGACCATTTAGCCCAGTATTGTCGACGATGACGGTCAACAGTTCTCCATGAGTGTTGCTGATGACGCCATGAACTTTAAGAATTTATCACCACGATGTTGCACACCAATCGCAGTTGTGTTTGGTATAGAAATGGGCGCTTACTGCAGTTCGGCACTTTGGTGTGCTTCGGCCGATCTGACCCACAGGTGTTGCATAGGCACCCCAAATTCTGCACCTCACCTCCTCCCATGGCCACCTACTCAGAGGAGGAGGCAGAGCAGGAAAGTCTGTGGTGCTTCTCCTGACAAGGTGCCCATGATGGAGGCGCAGTGTGGAATCTGAGGTGCCTGTGCAACACTTGTGGACCCGATCCACCAAACTGGGCTGAACCATGATAAGTGCCCATTTGTAGTTTGTTATTATTTCATATCCTTGTAATTATAGTGGTCCCCAAACCAACTTTAACTGTCTCTCTTGTTATTTATTAAGTTTTCCACAAGAATCTGAAGGCTTTGAGAATAGACCTCAACGGATGGAAAAATTCGCATCCCAACAGATGGGAACACTCAGAAACATCTGAGCATTCAGCCTGGAGGCAGGCGGTGCAGCATGGCCTCTCCCAATTTGAAAAGGCCCTTGTCCAGCAGGCTGAGGCAAAGAGGCAATCCAGAAACCGGAAAAATAAGGGAGCTGGACAGGGGACAGGTGGTATTTGTCTTCAGGGTGAAAGGGATTGTTGTCATTCTTGAATTGGCCTTCTCAGCCACATGAGACGTTGTTTGAAGTCCTCTATTGACAGCACATTTCCATAGTCTCTTGAGACTGAAGGATGACTAACCTAATCTACCCAATCTGATCTCATCCACAGGGTTTAGCAATCTAGTTAAACACTAACTTAAGGGACCTACTTTTACGCTCCTTAGTTATTAGATGCAATGGAGAGTGGCTTTAAAATTTTTCAGAACAGAAAATGTAAGGGCTTTCACTCCACAAAAGAGTTATCAGTTCAACATGGAAGGATGGGGAACATTTGGGCATGCACTAAAAGTGGCAGAGCACAAGAGCGAATCCTATCATGCAAGAGGTAGTTATGAACCAACACATACAGCACAAACATCCAATTTTTACTCCAGCAAGAAGTTAAGCTCCCTATGGAAAAATAGCTATTTTTCAGATGCACAGGACAGGTAATGAAAACATTCAAAGCAAATGCATTTACTACAAACCATCTTCAGTGCACAAAACTCCTTGGAGAAGGAAATATGAATTTCAGTTGCCACAATTGGGTTTGAATTTTTGCTTCCAAGACAGCTTTTGAAGATATTCAGTTCTTTAAAAATACCTCTGGTTTATGAATGTGAGATATTCTGCTTCTGTATCCATAATTCTAAAAGCCAGGAAATGCCCCAGTATTGCTGCACAATATTGTGCTCACACTGCCAGCAAGGGGGGGGGGAAGGATGTTAAGCTTTGCATAGCAAAAGGAAGCCTGAATGTTGATAACATCAGTGGAAGACGTCAAGATGTACAGCACTGGTTCCCAATGTTGGGTAAACCAGGTGTCTTTGGACTTCAATTCCCAGAAGCCTTCTCCACTTGCTGTGCTGGCTGTTACTGAAAATTGTATCCAAGGATACCTGGGTTACCCAAGGTTTGGAACCACTCGTATACAGGATACCCTCTTGTATTTATTATCATTCACACTTGTAAAAACCAGCCATGAAAACTGTTTTGTGTTTGGATGAGAAATGGTTAACAAATTAAAAAGCTAAAAACAATATGCATACAAATATTAAAATATTCAAAAGGAACAAATAAAGTTCACTCTGAGAAATGGAAAATACCAGTAGTACTAAAAACACCGTCAAAGCAATAATGCATAACAATCCATCTAGGAATCACACCCAGGCAGCCAGTCACTGTGGAAAAACTTGCCTGAAGAGAAAGGTTTTTGCCTGCTTGCAAAAAGATAGCAAGGACGGGTCCAGGCTGGCCTCCAGTGGGAGGGAGTTCCAAAGTCTGAGAGCAGCCACAGATAAGGCCTTATCCTATATCCCTACCAAACGCACCTGTGAAGGTGGTGGGACTGAGAGAAAGGTCCTGATGATTTTAACACTTCTTTGGAAGGCTCTTGTTAGTAAACTGTGTAACAGTCACCACTTTTCCCTTCTGAAAGGCCTTTTTTGAGAATCACCATTTCAGCCCCTGCAGTCTGGATTCTTTCACATATTTTAAAAGCAGATGGATCCAACCATTCTCTTTCAAGATAAGCAAGACTCTTCTTTTCAATTTATTTAATCTGTTTTAAATCTAAGGATATTTAGAGTCACTTGTTTCTGCACAGAGGGGAACAGTTTTACCTTTAAAAATCGTAACTCAAAAACCCTTTGCCCAAACTTCCTCAGAGCAACAGCAGACAGTCGGTCTACCAAATTCATGCTGATCTGAAGTCCGGTGTCAACATTTTTTTTGAGATTTGTTTGGGCCACCTCCATTTTTTAGAATTGCCTTGTAGAAGATTGATTTGCTGTGCTGCACAACAGCATCACTGCACTCTCATGTAGTGATAATTTAGTTTCAGAGAGCAGCATTTCCAAGCTTCCTACCCCAAAGAGGCACTTTCGATATTGCTTTAAAAAGGTAAAGGTTCCCCTTGACAATTTTTGTCCAGTCATGTTCGACTCTAGGGGGCGGTGCTCATCCGCGTTTCCAAGCCACAGAGCCAGCGTTTGTCCGAAGACAACCTTCTGTGGTCACATGGCCAGTGCGACTTAGACACGGAACGCTGTTACCTTCCCACCGAGGTGGTCCCTATTTATCTACTTGCATTTGCATGCTTTTGAACCGCTAGGTTGGCGGGAGCTGGGACAAGCGATGGGAGCTCACTCCGTCACGTGGATTCGATCTTACGACTGCTTGGTCTTCTGACCCTGCAGCACAGGCTTCTGCGGTTTAGCCCACAGCACCATTGCTTTGCCTGCTAACAAACTCCTATTCCTGGAAACCTCCGTTTTAAAAATGGGCATATAACAAAAGATAGGCCTGTCCTCACTTGATACTCCAGAAAGCAACTGCTAGTTCAATTACCAGACTAGAATTAAACTATCTGATCAGTCAGTGTAAGGCACTCTTCTAGATTATTGCGAGCAACCTTTCCAGCTCTCTACGTAGTACAGAATTTTGGAGCATGATCTAGATTTCACTTAGTCAAAATGGTTCTCCTGAGGAAGAGAAGCCTGCCTCTCACATGCATTTTCTAGGTCATGGTAATGGACTCTATATCCTTTAAATGCTTTAACAACTGTGTGACTCACCGGAAAGGCAGTTCTCTCCATACTAACCCAGGATAGAATGAATGACAGTTACCACTCACAGCTCATGCAGAGCGAACTGTGCTGGTGGTCTGATTTTCATGAGGGGGGCACTACTGAGGAGCAGTAAATTCTCAACTATTTCAATGCATTTTTATCACCATGGGAGAGGTGCCATTTATATTTTCTGCTTGAGGGTGCCAGCGTGTGACAGGTGGTTTTTAATTTCATTGTCGGATTATACACTCAAACCAATCAACTTTCTATCATTTCAGGCCAGCTGGAAGACAAGACACAGACGTGATACCCATTTCCAACAGCTTCATTTGTACTGAGAGACAGATAAAGTGATATTTCCCACTCTGTGGTGCAAAAGATGATTCCAAAAATTTGTCTACAAAAGAAGTCATTAAAATACTTCCGCCTAACTTAGTTCTTTACTTCACACAGCTTCCCACAACCTGGTACCGCCCCCCATAATATGTTTCACTAGAACTGCAGATATTCTCTCTCTCTCTCTCTCTCTCTCTCTCTCTCTCTCTCTCTCTCTCTCTGTGTGTGTGTGTGTGTGTGTGTGTGTGTGTGTGTGTGTGTGTCCCCGTCCGTCCGTGTCTGTGATATTAATCAGGGCATCTCCAAACATCAAAGTACTAAACAACTGAATTGCAGGGCAATGTCTTAAGCTCAATACTAAGCCAACATACCAGATAAAGAATTCTTCGTAACTTAATTTTGGTAAAAGCACTAAGTAATAATGCACCAAAAGACTACTCAGAAAAATAAATGAGTCAAAAAGGAAGGTGGGGGGGGGACACAGAGAACAAACTGTTTTGCTCTGTGTGAGCTTTTGTGCATCAAAACACACTTCCTCGGGCATAGAGAATGTATGTTGTTTCAAAACCTACAGGCTGGTCCAGTGATTCTGGAGTATGCCAACACAGCACCTGCCAGCTTCGTTGCCCTTTTAACTGCCATGGCTTTATCCCACAGAAATCTGGGATTTCTAGCTTTGGGTATACATTACAGTGGTATTCTCTGCTTGACAGCGCTAGTGGTGCAATTCTGGAAAGTGGGTTGGATCACCCAGCATATCACTAAACTGCACAGAGTGGTAGATTATTTGACTTGCCAGTGCTGTAAACAAGTCAAACAAACAAACAAACAAACAAAGGACCCATTCCAGGACTCCACAAGATGGAACCATGACAATTACAGCACCATTGAATTAATAGAACGGCAGATCCTTTTCTAGTTTGTCTTCCTTCTTATCCAAAGGGCTCAAGGCTGGCGGAAGCGTTCGTTGTTGTACTGTAGGTCAATGCCTCCCGGAGAAAGGTGCCTGTAGCATTCCTACAAGCAGGAGACAAAGGAAACAGCCTTTCCCTTCCCCACCTGTCCCAACATGCATTGGCTCTGAATGGGGAGCCTGCTATGCAGCCACATCTAGACCAAGAGTTGCTGGTAGCTAAGTAAAGTGACTTTTTTTGAATGACAATATTCACAAGCCTTTAAGTAATAGAACCCCAGACAGTGCGCCATCTAAAAAGCTTTTCCCCCCCCAAGCTCGGTGACAAGCCAGATACACCGCCTGAATTTGTCTAATCCTTGAAACCTGTAGCCAGTCAACCTATCTTCTTGGAGTGAATTCCATTAATTGTCATGATCTATTACGCTGTACAAATAACATTATATGACATACTGCCTCAAGTAACCGGTAGGGGACATACCACCAGTTTCCGTAACCCCACATTTAGGAATCACTACAATGGATCCCGCTCCCAGCTGGTTGAACTAGAGCAGCTGCTGGCAATGTTTGCAGAACATCACTGATCAGCGTTAAGCCCTACGTTTATGATACATCAAGCAGGCCACACAGCAGCACATCTGCTGGAAAGGGGGTCCTCAAAGGCCTAGAAAGCTTGGTCGACTTCCTTGCTCCCAAAGAACGCTGCTTACGACGAGCTTCCCAGCATAATGCACACAATAACACCCCTAGATTCTGGTGCTCTGATCATATCCCAAAGGCACAAACGATGTTGGGTACGCCACCCTCTCTCAACTTCAACTCTCCATCTGTAGAGTTGAAGCTCATCCAACAGCACTGCTGGGAAGATTAATAAAATAAGGATTAGACACCTCCTTGAGCACCAAAAGTTGATTACCGATAAAGCTGAGCATGTTAATGTCATACATTGACGCTCTCTCTAAATTTATGGTTCTGCTACCACTAAGGAGTGCTTTACGTCTGGATACAAATATATGGCCAGTGATTGGGAGGGGGGGGGGAGAGATAAATTATTACAACTATCTAGTTAGAAGAATGGCCAATTTACCGGATCATCTCATTTAGAGTTCAGGGCGAGGGCTATGCGCTGCATGTTTGGAACGCTGGGTGGAAAAAAGAGGGAAATAACCTTTTGTGGCTCTATTCCAGATGCAAGAAAAGAAAACCGAGGGGAGTGAGAATCACTGCTCATTTGTTACCTCTTTTTTTCAAACACTGAAGCTGTAACGCTGGAATGAGTCAATCAGCGGATGATACTGGTTTAGCTGACGAACGAAGGAGCGCAGAAGAAGCTGCTCAGACGGAGAAATGTAGAGGAAGGACTGGGGCGCACTCAAGGGATGCATTAAGTATGTAAAATTACCAAAAGAAATGATAGCAGCAAGACAAAGAGAGCGAAGCATGAATTCCAAGCCATTCTCCGGCTCTACCTAATAACAACAAGAACCCAAAGGCTCAAACATAAAGCAAAGCCGATCGTGTTCGAAGCGATAATTGCGAGAGTGCATGGCTAGCCTGGAAGAAAGCAAAGCAACGGGCAGACAATATTCTAAAAATCCATAAGTGACAAATCAAGAGCACAAACGCTTGGGAGAAATGCGTCCTGTGCAACTGCTAAGAGAATTCTGAAATCCGAGGAAGTGGCAAAAGTCAAGGTAAGATGCTGGTCATTTCCAAACTACTGCAAGTGTAACTAGGGCTGAGAGAGAGAGTGAGGATTCTCACATATTTTATGTATTAAAAGAGCTCTAATATAAACAAGTCCAAAAATGGGAGTCCAAAGGGCAATTTTCATGTGTCTGCTCATTAAAGGAAAGCTGGATAAAGGTTTCCCTGCATTCAGTGTTAAAGTGGCTACTACTCAAGAATTCAAACTAAAATTTCAGAGGTCATTACGTTCTCCATTCAATTAAACAGGTGGTCCTTTCCCAAATAGTTCTAGATAGCAATTTCTATCTAGAAATTCCCAGTAATTGCTATGTACCGTGTTTCCCTGAAAATAAGACAAGGTCTTATATTAATTTTTTGCTGCAAAAAAACACATTAGGGCTTATTTTCAGGGGATGTTGTTTTTTTCATGTACAATCTACATTTATGTAAATACAGTACAGTCATGTCATCATTTTCTGGTTGCTGCACAATGGTGGAGAGCGGGGTTTCACTGAACTGGGGCTTATTTTTGGGGTAGGGCTTATATGACGAGCATCCTGAAAAATCCTACTAGGGCTTATTTTCAAATTAGGGCTTATTTTCTGGGAAACAGGGTAATAAGTTTAAGACAGATATAGATCACATTAAATTCAATAGGGGTTACTTTTAATTATACAAAAGACCATAGATTAGCTTGATTAAAATTACCTTCAAGTGTTTGTCATTTTTAAAAACATGCTTGCTACTCAGAAGAAAAAGAAGAAACCCACAATGAAATAGCATCTCTAGAGCTGTCTGCAACTCCTCATTCCCATTTCAAGGTTGAGTTTTTGCAGCATTACAGGCTGCAATGATCAAACTCGGAGTGATATGTTTTCTATAAATCAGTTTGTCCCGTCTTCACATTCATTGTAACAATTCCAGAAAATCCATTTAAAAGAAAGAGAGAGAGAGAGAGAGAGAGAGATGAAATGCAGATGTTATTTTGTCTATGAAGAACCCTTCAAAATAAATTCTTAGAATATAAGAGGCGGTGTGCAAGGACATAAAGGGTTAATTTTCTGTCCCAATCAACAGCTCTTCTTTTCTGCACTCTCCTCTTGCAAGATTAGCCTGATTGCTGCGATTTATAGCTAGAGATGCATCCAAGTTAACATGCTCCTTTTCACACTATTTTGCAGGCACTCAAGGAGGAAAATAAAGGAAATGTGTGGACAGAGCATAACCACTTGTAGCAGCTGATGAACACTGTACAATGCTGATCTTTAATCAGGATCATAGCCAGCAGGAGGGGAAAACTAATTTCCTAGACTTTAAAAAATGCCTGGGCAACACACGATCTCTGAAGACATTCCACTGGGCTCCAAGATGCCTCTGAACACATCTGACAATGGATCTATGCAACCAGTTTCTGGCACCCTGCGCTGGGCGGCTCTGCTCATGCTGATGGTCATCATACCCACCATTGGGGGTAACATTCTCGTCATCCTGGCCGTCTCGTTGGAAAAAAAGTTGCAATACGCCACCAATTATTTTCTCATGTCTCTGGCCGTGGCTGATTTACTGGTTGGTCTGTTTGTGATGCCACTAGCCCTTCTCACCATATTGTACGGTAAGTAGTGGACTTTCTCAATCTCTTAAGAAAGAAATTATTTTAGATGCGTCCCTGTGTGCACTTAATGCACTAACCCCATTAAGAGCTTTCTGATGCCTTCCGCCCTTTGCCAAAAGCAAATTAAAACAATCTCCCCTCTTCTCAACGTGTGTCCTAGTAAAGCAGAAATGTAGGGAGGGAATTACAGAATGCCAAACTGAAACAGCCGTCTACAAGGCAGAAGCTCCTCTGCTCTGCTATATGCAGACGCGACTATTTCTGTGTTTCAATGACAACCTACAAAATTCCCATAAAAACAAGGAGTCTCTAACATTTCTAAGCTTGATAGGAGCCTGCCCTGGTCACCACCAACGATCCACATTCCACCGGTCTGACACTCACACATGCTCATCGTTTCGCGGCCGTAAAATGCTGTGATTCATCAAAAGGTCCATCTGTGTGATGTAAGAGACGGACGTTGTAATTTGGTTTCACCCCAAGGAAATAAAAAAATTCACCCTTTTTTTTCTTTTTCTGTGTTTCTTTTTGGCCATTGTGAAATGCTTTTTGACAACTAGTCCAAGTTGACCTCTGATTTTACGAAATCGCTACTTGAGTGGAATTCAGTTAACACTGCAATGGGGAATTTTCAGGTACATCTCACCCACTCCGAACTTAAAAATATTTCTTTTTGGCTAGTTCCATGAAGATGGATCTAGAATCAGGAGGTTTAAGAAAGTTTTAGTGGCAACTGTTCAAATATTCTGCCAGGACACTGGAAAATGAATAAACCCACCAAGTCTTTCTCTCCTGAAAATATTTTGAGTTAACACCAACACTGGCCTGTTGTTTTTTTTTTAAACCATCCAAAGAGCTCTGTAGTGTAGGCTAGTACTGTGTTCAAATCCCCAGATTTACAGGAGTTAAGGTGAGCCAAGAGAAGGGGGCTTGTGAGTTTATGACAGAGGCAAGAGCTGCCGTAAAAAAGCTTTCTGATCCGTAACTTAAAGACTCTAAATTACTACGCTAACCAAGGGAGGGATCATGCAGTTAGCCAGTGACGACCCCCACCCACCCTTTGATGAAGCAAGACAAATAAATTCTGCGTAAAATGGGCCACTACTGTCATGCCCTCTTTTGCTAACAGCCCACCTATATTACAGAGGCTGGGTTCACTGTACATATGTATTTTCTCGTTGCCATCTCACTCAAGGTATATGGCCATAGTTATTCTTTTGAACCAGAAGTGCCTTGCTAACGGGCCAGCGGTCAAGCATGCTTGGGTATTCCGAGAGTTGTAGCCCAAAACAGCAACTTTCCCATCTCTGTGATTGCTTCAACTATACGTAGTACAAAAAGAGAGAGAGAGAGAGAGCCATTCTCCCATTTTTATGCCTGCTTCAAATAACAACTGGTGGCCGAGCAGTCATTCTAAACCAAAGGTTCCCAACCCTGGGTCCCCAGATGATTTTTGTACTAAAACTTCCAGAAGCCTCTACCACGAGCTGAGCTGGCCAGGATTTCTGGGAGTTGTAGTCCAAGAACATCTGGGGACCCAAAACTGGGAAGCAGAGCTCTGAACAAAATTTATTTATTTAGAATATTTTTACCCTGCCTTTCTCCTTAAAAAGGACTCAAGGCAGCTTACATCATTGAAAGGACAATATTTAAAAGCTAAAAACCGTAAGTATACAAAGATTTTAAAAAGATTAAACAACTATTATATTAAAAACGGTAAATAAAATCGATACTAAAAACACACTGGAAAGCGAGAGAGCACAACAATCTGTTCAACACACTGAAAAGCGAGAGAGCACAACAATCTGTTCAAAAACCCATCTCAGACCATCAATCACTCAGGGAAAGCTTGCCTGAAGAGAGATGTCTTGGCCTGCTTGTGGAAGGCCAACAAAGATGGGGCCAGGCTGGCCTCCAGTGGGAGGGAGTTCCAAAGTCTAGGAGAAGCCACAGAGGAGGCCCTCACCCGAGTCCTCACCAACTGCCCCTGTGAAGGTGGTGGAACCGAGAGAAAGATAGGGATCCACTTATGGAGTGACTCCCAAATGACCCCAAGATGTTGTGAGCTAAAAACGTTTTCTTCAAAGCTGCTTTCCTTTTAGCTGGAAACTACATCATATTTATAGGCTAAAATTCTGCTCCTCTTTATAGTAACTAGTGCAGGCCAACTGAATCAACAGGATTTACAGAGGAGTAGACTCACCAAATCACTGACTGAATGGACCTACTTCAGTTGCAATTTGGTATGGCCAGTAAGAGGACTTCAGCTATAGTACTGAAGAAGCCTATAAAATTTTGGGCAGTTCACTATGATCAAGTCTTTCAGACAATAGTTTTCACACTTTAATCAAGCTGACAAGTGATTCTGCAGTAAACGTTGCAGCATCGCATACACAAGCTAAGAATTTAGGATGAGAAGACCATACAAAGCCATTAGTCACCAGCAGCATTAAAAAAAAACTGCAGGCACTCAAGTCTGCATTTTTCTAAGCTTTCTACCATTTCTTGACTTTCTACTCTCTTGTTTTGTTTTGCCCTTGCTATATAATCTGCCCATTAATCAACGGTTACAAGGGGATCTACATAAAATTTAAAAAGACACTAGGAATTTTAATTTTAGAATGCATCTTTTATGTTGCAAAATGTTAAAACACGAAAGAAGTTGGACATTATAATTAAAGAGTTGTGGTGAAGTTATTTCCAGGCACTTTGGACACACAGACAACCTAAGAGCAGAATTTGCTTCCATTAAAAAAAGTCCATTTGGCAGCAAAAGCCAAGTATTTTTCTTTTTCTTCCTACTGAGCAACTGCTTAGAAAACATTTACAGAAAGTTCACACTAGGATCAAAAAGCCTGGAGTTAGCAGACTGAAGAAAGGACTAGTAATCCCTTAAAATTTCATTAGTCACAATATTGTTTAAATAACGTGTCATCAGTGCTAAAGTCAAGCCCTTATGAGCCATCAGTGTTTCCACAACTGTACAGAATCTCAACACACAACACCAATATTGTTCCTTTGATTTCTGACATTTATGGGGGGGATCTTAGAGAGGAAATGTTTGAACTATTTGAAACAGGGGAATCTTAAGATCTTATGTGCCTCTGGAACAGTGTTTTTAAAGCCATTCTCAGGGACCCCAAACTGAGGAGTTTCAGAAGGATACCAAGAGCTCCTTGATAAGAAAGTTGGCCAATAGCTGGGTGAGCTTCCATCCAAGACATCTTGCCCATCTCTATTTTATGGGAAAGACAATAAGACCTCATGATTCTGAGAGTTACTTGACTTCTAATCAGAACCCTTAGATCTACCCAGAACTTAGAATAACATTTGTTAAAAAAAATTCATCTCCATCAAACACCTTTACCCCTAGGTTGATCATCACTCCAGTCAAGGAAACTAATGCCAGGTCTTCTCTTAACCAGGCTTCACTTCTATAGTCACTTTCAAATTCCAACAAGCAACCACAATTAATACTGATATGACATTTAAATCAGATGGTGAGGCTGAGGAGGGAACATGGAGTTTGTCAAAGCTGATATGTTTATAGCCAAGGTGACATTTACACTGGGGACTTGCTTGGTCTGTAGCTCAGTGTCAGACAACTGCTTAACCAACTCACCTTGGCAGGTAGGCCTGCCTCCTGTAATTTCAGCTATTATCTAGTAAAGTGACCCTAAATGATTCCCATTTTCCTGAGAGGCCAAAACAAGGAACTTCTACACTTAAAATTATAGCTAGCCACCTGCTCTATAGGTAAAGGTAGAGGCTCCCCTTGACATTTAGTCCAGTCGTGTCCGACTCTAGAGCGCAGTGTTCATCCCCGTTTCCAAGCCGTAGAGCCAGCGTTTGTCCAAATACAGTTTCTGTGGTCACGTGGCCAGCACGATTAGACATGGAACACCGTGACCTTCCCACTGAGGTGGTACCTATTTATCGACTAGCATTTTTACATGCTTTCGAACGGCTAGGTTGGCAGGAGCTGGGACAAGCGACGGGAGATCACTCCATCGTGTGGATTCGATCTTACGAAAGCGGGTCTTCGGACCTTGCAGCACAGAGGCTTCTGCGATTTAACCCGCAGTGCCACCACGTCCCTTTTCCTGCTCTATAGCCTACTATTGAACACAAAAAAGAAAACAGAACTTTTGTGGGGTGCATCGGGATTATTTTTTTTAAATAAAAGTGCATTTTTGGATATACACAGAGAAAGTCTGTTTTGAACCAGTGTGAAAATCCCATTCCTCAAAGGACTTAGCAGATGGAGATGGCATCTAACAAGCAGTGCATAAAAGCAGAGGGAACACTGAATCATTCATTCAAAATCTAGGCATCGTCCTTTTTCTTAACATATAAAGCATACACCTGCCTGCATAAAGGCCACATTTTAAGGCACAGAAAAATTGCCTGCTCGACTAGACAGAACCTTAGAGTTTCAAACATACCATTTTAATTGGTTACTGAAAGTCTTTATTTCTTCTGGCGCAAGAGGGAAAGAGAAGTTGTTAAAACCCAATAAATTCAAGAAAAGCTTTAAAAGGGACTGCTTGACAGTCTGCCATGCACTCAGTACACTGTCCTTATCCTATGTTATTTCAGACACTATCTACTACTCTTTTTCCGAAAAAAGAGAGTGCTTTTGATTGGTGCTCCCAAACTCGTAAAACGGAGTAAGCCCTTGGCTTTACAACTGCCGGGAGCTGCCTGAGGAATAGCTGCCACACAGCACTGTGTTGCGAGTCAACAAATTCCAACACAGAAACCACAAGAGACACTCATGTAGGAACAGTTTTAATGCATTACCATCCCAACAGTGTGAGCATCTACATGGAAAATTGGAGAGAAGGGAGATAAAAGGGGGGATAAAAGACATTTGAAATCTTTCATTGCTCCGGATTTCTCAAGATAAACTGCCTTCCCCATAAGAAACACATTAATATCAGTATCAGCCGGAAACCTGCCCCGCGCCCCTTTAGAAGATTGGTCTTGAATATTCCAGATGAAAATAAGACACCCCAATCAATCTCTGATATATTAACTCTCTGTGTGAAAGAATGGTTGCAGCAACGGAAGAATATCCAGCTGTGCTGTGCACTGCAATAACAGATCCCTTTTTTTCATCCATGTTTATGTCAACTATCTCTCTAGGAAAAAAGCCCATGGCGGCCTTCCCTAACCCGGTGCCCCGCAGGTGCATCAGACTCCAACCCCCATGCCTTCACGGCCAGCCTAGGCCTCACATCTGGAGAGTGCCAGAATGAGGAAGGCTGCCCCAGGGATTGCACAGGGCAGTGGTTCTTGACCTTGGGTTACTCATGTGTTTTTGAACTACAACTCCCAGAAACTCCAGCCAGCACAGCTGGTGGTGAAGGCTTCTGGGAGTTGCAGTCCAAAAACACCTGAGTAACCCTAGGTTAAGAACCACTGGCATAGGGCACCAATGGGAGAGTCATTCAAACACACCCAGGATTTGGTACCCATATGTGGGGATGAACAGGTTTAGCAGAGGACTTTAACCTTCTTCACTCATAACTTTCAGATATAAAAGTAATCCAGACATAAGCCAGTTTTTTTTAATAGCTTCTTTCCTCTTGGTTTGACTGTTGCGGTCAGGCAGGAGCAGACTGTCTCAGGTAGGGTTTTCGTGGCGCCAGGGTCCAAACCTCCTCATTTCAGCCACATAGACCCAAATGTCTGCCGCTGCTTATTTGTTTTAGAACTTGGCTTTTCTTTGAAGAACTTGCAGAAGCGCAGTATTTCCCAGTTACAAACATGCTTCTTTTGGTCACTTGTGTAATCACAACACGTTTGGGAGAACACACACACACACACACGGGGGCCTCCCCGCCCTGTAAGATGCATCCATTCTTCTCGGATGGCATCTGCCAGGAGCTGCATCTTGATAGCAAGAGGACAGCAAGCCAGGAATGAGTGAGGTCAGAGCCAGCCCTGTGCTTCCTAACATCAGCCCTGCTGTTTTTCTCTTTTCCTCTGTCCACCCACGCAGGCACACCCTCCTCCCATGCGCACAAAGCATGCTTCCTTCATATGCTCATTCTCTCTCTCTCTCTCTCCCTCTCTCACACACACTGTACTTCACTCTAATGGACCCAGCTCTCATATCACTCCTAAGGGACACCTCTGGAAATTTTAAATTCACACTCTTCTCCCCTGACATAAACATTAGCACTCAAGCAGTCAACACCGAGGCATAATAGCTCAATTTGTTTCAAACACACACAGCTCTGTATAGAGAGTGGCGGTTCTTGGTTAGCATGGTATCTAGTATACTGTGATAAAACAGGCTTCTCTGTCTGGCATAGAAACTCGTGGGACATCCTGTCCTATTAGTTCAAACACTCTCTGGGTGGTCCACAACAAAGTGAATCATCGTTAGGACAAAAAAGCTAAATCAGACAGATGGGGAATATCATGTCCTGCTACTTTTACTATCAGGTATCTCAGTGTGGTTTAGTGGATAGAGTAATAGACTAGGAATCTGGAGAACAGGGTTTGAAAACCCACTGGGTCATGGACACTCACGGAGGGAGTGGAACCAGTAAAATGACTCCTTAAATATCTCATGTACCTTGAAAACTCACTAGGTCATGGACATTCACAGAGGGAGTGGAAGCGGTAAAATGACTCCTTAAATATCTCATGTACCCTGAAAGCCCTATTGTTGTTGTTGTTTAGTCATGTCCGACTCTTCGTGACCCCATGGACCAGAGCACACTAGGCCCTCCTGTCTTCCACTGCCTCCCAGAGTTGGGTCAAAGTCATGTTGGTCTCTTCGATGACCCTGTCCAACCATCTCGTCCTTTGTCGTCCCCTTCTATAGGGTTGCTACAAGTCGGTTCTGACTTTACAGCACAGAGAACAGACATTTACTTTCACCTTGATTTGAGATCACTTTTCAAATTGGATGCCTGATGAATGAATCAGGGACCTTCTTTAATGCTGCAGCCCCAGTAAAAGGAGCTCCCGCAGGGCACGCTATCAGCTCCAGCACCCCAAGGGAAGATTCTGATTCTTGACTACTGTTTTTCAGAGATGACGTGGCCTCTCCCGCAGGACCTGTGCCCTGTCTGGCTGTTCCTTGATGTCCTCTTTTCCACAGCCTCCATCATGCATCTCTGCGCCATCTCGCTAGACCGTTACATCGCCATAAAAAAGCCTATCCAAGCTAGTCAGTACAACTCGCGGGCGACAACACTTATCAAAATAACAGTGGTGTGGCTGATCTCCATAGGTATGTAGCGAAGCTTAAAAGGACAGCATGTGGTTCGTTTGCTCATCGATTTAAAGGGGAAAGAAGCAATGTTGCACAAAGCAGAGCAGCTTGGGCAGTGGGAGGCAGCAAGGGTTTTCTAGCACCAAAATCAGAACTCCCAAGCGCAGGAAAGGTCAGATTTTGGCAGCTCAGACTTTAGACCGCAGACTTTTTAGTGGGAAAGAATCTGGCCTCACTCCAACCTGACAGGGTCTAAAACGGAGTGAATGAGGCAAGCTGATTGTAAGGGTCCACCTGGAGCTACCCAGCACAAAGAAATGGCAGAAGGGGAGGGAGATGGGGGGGAATTTCTTAGTAAAGATGTAAAGGAAGAGGGGAAGCTATGCGTGTTTTGACAGAAGTGCACAAAGCAGAACGGCCTAATAATGAATGGGATGCAGAATAATGGGTTATCTTAAATTTTTCCCTGGGATTCTGAGCTCTCTGCAGACAGTACATTGCCCATTGTTAATGTCTAATAGGGTTGTGCACAAAATGTAAATTCCAGACAAGAAAATAAATGAGGGGAAGGGAAACTGAATCAAAGACTCCAAACTGCTGGCTAACAATGACTATGAAGCTAAGGAAGCAGGCACCAGAGATTAGCTGTGGAGCAAGTAAGGTAAAGGGCATCCAAAACAGAGTAAAGCATAAAAATCAGCTCTACTGCAGACAATGGAAGGGTGCAGCAGAATTAAAACACACACACACACACACCCTGAACATGACTTCCAACCTGACTAAATTTAAGAGGGCCTCTAGCAATCAGAGGAAACAAAAGGCAACGGTTGAAGCCAAAGAAAAGAAACAGAGAAGACACAAAACGCTTTGAAAATTGCTGTTTTAAAGGGACATTCATCAAGCATGCTGTAGCTTATCACCTCTTAAATTAAACTCAGTATTGTACTGGGACTTCCTCTAGTCTTCCAGGCATTCCAAAAACTGACTAGAAGAGATAAATCAGGGTAATGGAGCAGGTAGAACCTTAACTTCATCTATCAGAACACTCTTGACATTATACCTTGAAGTCTCCAAATCCAGGGCTGGTCATCAAAGGGTGCAGGGTGCTGGCACCAGCCCATAATAATGAGCCTCTCTGAAATGCCAAGCTGCACAATGGTGGATGAATTAGTAACCACCACCAGCTGCTTGATTAACATGGAAAGTTGTCAATGACGGGCCTCCTTGCCCAGATAGAGAGATGGCTTGTCATCAGTGGGTCTATGGGAATCCAAAGCATGTTCAACCTTCAAGGTTATTTGTGTGTGTGGGTGGTGGTGGTACTAGAACTCCCAAAGGTCTCTCCTTTGTCCACATGCTCTTGACAAGAGTAGGGAAGAATGTTAAACTTTGGTTCTGGCAAATGGCACCACGCCTTGGGCTTTTTACAGTCCTTCATCTCAAAAGATCACTGTGACTTTTGCAGAGTGATATCTCCGAGCAGTAGTCTGTTTCATTTTCTGTAGTCCAGGAAGCTCCCTCTTCAACTGGGGGGGGGCGCGCTTCTAAATATACTGCACTTTTTTCATCACCCCCTCCATTGACTGCGAACCAACAATCCAGAACAATCCCGCACTCTGAAGTCTACAATTCGTTTATTTGGACAATTTATACATTAACAACTCACTAAAGTTCCTATCCTGGTCTACACAGACCAATGCACTGCAAATGCAATGGCCACAATTCTATTATGTTAGTGTTAGTGCAACAGCATTCATTACAACAGCAAATCACCCCTAGCTGACAAGTTGCCTCCTGTATTCCTCACCCCGTGTCAAGGATTCATGCAACAGTAAATACAAGTAGCAACTCGTGTTTGTCACTGCAATCTACACCACTGTCAGTGTAAAGAACTGATGGATTCTGGTCACTAAAACGGATAAAAGCTGCTAAGGTGGGGCAGACGTGTTTGTAGATTTCCCCCATTCCTCGGATGTTCCAGCTGCCACTCAATGTCTCTGGGGTGCCCGGCAGCAGTCCATTAGCTCCTTATGGGACAGGCTTTCCTACCCAGGCCTCCACAGCTAACATCATTCACCATTCTGACTTCCGGTGGCAGGGGAAAGCGGCATGTGGGGAAGAAACATGTTTATATCTCCCCCCACAACCCAAACTTATTTATTTTATATGCCGCATTTCCCCCAACAAGGGATCCAAAGCAGCTCACAACATTAAAATTCATACGACGTCTGTTCCAATCATCACAAAAGTCAGCTCACTGGGTTTCTCTTTCCCCTCCAGGTATTGCCATCCCAATCCCTATCCGTGGCATAGAAGATGGAGTTGAGAACTTCTCCAACTTCACCTGTGTCCTAAGCCCCGGACGTTTTGGTGACTTCATCCTCTACGGTTCCGTGGCTGCCTTCTTCATCCCTCTGGCCATCATGGTGGTGACTTATTTCCTCACTATCCGGGTGCTACGCAAGAAAGCCTACTTGATCAACAAGGCACCGCAGCGCTTGACCTGGAGTACAGTGTCCACCGTCTTCCAGAGGGATATGACTCCTGGATCATCACCAGAAAAAGTGGCCATGTTGGATGGATCGAGGAAGGACAAACCCTTGCCTAATGGGAACGAAGAACCGCTAATGCGCAGGACATCCACGGTGGGGAAGAAGTCGGTTCAGACAATCACCAATGAACAACGTGCTTCCAAAGTCTTGGGGATCGTATTCTTCCTCTTTCTGTTGATGTGGTGCCCCTTCTTCATAACCAATATCACTTCTGTACTGTGCACATCTTGTGACGAGAAATTCATCCAAAAACTTATGGAGATATTTGTTTGGATAGGATATGTTTCATCAGGTGTGAACCCACTGGTGTACACTCTTTTCAACAAGACGTTCAGAGAGGCCTTTGGCAGGTACATCACTTGCAATTACCAAACCTCAGCTCCTGGAAATGCTCTCCGGAAATGTTCCAGCAGACTCTCCTTCAGGAATTCTGTGGCCGAGAACTCAAAACTGTTTATGATGCATCATGGAATGCGCAATGGGATTAACCCTGTAATGTACCAAAGCCACAGGCTTTGTAGCTCACCAATTCAGTCCTCATCAGCCATTCTGCTTGATACCCTTCTACTTACAGAGGACGAAGTGGATAAAACAGAAGAGCAAGTCAGCTACGTATAGCTAGGTGGAAAAGACGAGCCATACCCTGAACTTATTGACAAATGCTGGTGCGTGCATGGTTTCATTCCTTATTTATACAAATCCCAATTACTGTTTCAACTCTTTGTCCTCTAAATGTGGGAGGGGGCTCCTTTTGCCCCAGACCAAATCCATGTATTGCAAATGAACACCAATTCAACACATTACAAAAAAAAACCCTCCCACAAATATTTGAGTGCTGTAGTTACATAAATGCAGAAGTTCAAATAAATGCAGCTATGGCAACTCCCACGTCTGAGGTACTGGATTTTCCCATCTCCTCTTTTCAAAAAGCACAGTCTTCTTAAGAGATCTTTACACAGTAATTGACCTAAAGCAGACAAAGCCATCCAAATACACCTCCATTTTACAAAAGATGGAAAGGCCTGAAATGCATGCAAGCTTGCAAAGTAGGGAGGCCCCTGGCAAATCATTCAATGGGTCTAATCTATTTAGGACTAACATCCCATTCAGCTTACAGTGTATACTGTATCTTACAACCATTAATTACAACGTCTCCCAACCATAAACCATGCCACAACTTTTATTGTTATAATCTAAAACCCATACTCACTTCTCCACTTGAAAATCCAACCTAAATTAATGAAATCTTAACTGTACAATTGGAATTATGCAAAGTAGCTGCACCTATGTTGGCTTAATTCACACCATTTATTCTGCATCTTTGTTCTTAACCAGTGATGCTCAGCTCCTCAGAAAATCATGACCTGGCACCCCCACTAATTTCAAAATCAGCTATCGTAAGATCATATAAGGAATGCTGTACTGTACCTGATCAAAAGGAAAGGTCAGCCGAGTCCATCATTGTATTTGAGCAGCGCCACACCTGATGTTTCTGAAAGTTCACTATTGGAGTTACCTTCTTTATAGTGTGGCCCAAGGAATCCCCTAGTTTAGATATAGCCCCTGCTTAATTAGTAAAAGTTGCTTTTACTAAGAAAAAAAATATATATCTCAGGATTCAGGATTCTGTATCTGCTCATCATACAGAAAGATAATGCTGAGGAACTGATGGATCTAAGACTCTGCCCGACATGATAAAGCCCTCTAACAGAAATGTATCTTAAAATCACTCTCACACACACATGCAGACAGAAAGTGGAGTATTCCCCAGTGTACAGGGGTGATTATGACTTCAATATTATTATTTAAATACTTTCAAAATCTCCCGCAAATACAGTGGTGCCTCGCTTAACGATTGCTTCATTTAACGAAGAATTCGCTTAGCGATGGCTTTTTCGGAGCGATCTTGCACTCCGTTTAACGATGCTCCCTATGGGCTTTTTTCGCTTAGCGATGTTGGGAGCAGCCGGGCGGCGGGGCAGAAAGGCAGGAGCCGATCCGGTCTTTCTCCCCCACCATTGGGCACAGCACTTTCGGAGAAGCCTCCCGGTGGGGGGGAAAGATCGGATCGGCTTCTGCCTTTCTTCCCTGCAGCCCGGCTCCTCCCAAAGGGC